TCGATATAAGTCACAGTTATGATTTCACAGATTCGAGACAGCTTGATAGCCCGAACGGCCCCAGGCTTTCGCCCATGCACGCTAAGTGACTTACATTACAAGCATTTAGCTTTCCGGAGACTATGACAACAATTGTTTGGCATTGACAGCCGCGAATTTCGTGCCAATAAGCTGCCTCGACTTGTTCGATTATGTTATCAACTCAATTTCATATTTATTTTCACATTTTTACTTCGCGGTCCTTCTCTGTTCTTTTTCCATTATTTACACGTGTAGGTCATTTCATTGTTATCCACATTTGATATCGTTTATCACATACTTCCATGATGCTCTTGTCTGTCCGCTACAACTGCCAAGAATTAACGCAATTGGCAAAGCATAGTGACAGTGGGCCAATAGAGAGCAGGATCCTTGCCATAATGCGGTTTGCACGTCAATTTTCGTACGTGCGTTAATCAAGCTGAATATTCGGCTATTCGGCCAGGAGCGTGGCCTAATAGCCGAATATTCGGCTTGATTCCGAATATTCGGTATTCGGCCTGAGGCCAAATATACTATTCGTTACAACACTAGTATTCATACATTTGTGAGAGATGACAACTTGTAATGAAATCCTGTTTAAAAAGTTACATTTTGAACAAGATTAAATAGAAAATAATTTTAATATTGATAATAAAATTTTCTGTTTAATTTTTTTCAAGTTTATTTTATTACTACTACTGGACAAAGGAAATCAGTCATAAAATAAAAATGATAAATTGTATATATTTTTTATTTTATGACTGATTTCCTTTGTCCAGTAGTAGTAATAAAATAAACTTGAAAAAAATTAAACAGAAAATTTTATTATCAATATTAAAATTATTTTCTATTTAATCTTGTTCAAAATGTAACTTTTTAAACAGGATTTCATTACAAGTTGTCATCTCTCACAAATGTATGAATACTAGTGTTGTAACGAATAGTATATTTGGCCTCAGGCCGAATACCGAATATTCGGAATCAAGCCGAATATTCGGCTATTAGGCCACGCTCCTGGCCGAATAGCCGAATATTCAGCTTGATTAACGCACGTACGAAAATTGACGTGCAAACCGCATTATGGCAAGGATCCTGCTCTCTATTGGCCCACTGTCACTATGCTTTGCCAATTGCGTTAATTCTTGGCAGTTGTAGCGGACAGACAAGAGCATCATGGAAGTATGTGATAAACGATATCAAATGTGGATAACAATGAAATGACCTACACGTGTAAATAATGGAAAAAGAACAGAGAAGGA